GTGTGGGGATGAGCCTGGAGTTGCACCCACGTAGACTGTCAGGTGATCAGGACTGAGACCAGGACCAGACCGGGACTAGGACCAGGACAGACACTGGGACTGAGACCAGGACAAGACCGGGACAAGATCAGGACTGAGACCAGTTTAGTCCTGGTTAAGTTTTGGTTTAGACCCGTTTTAGACCTGGTTCAGTCCTGGTTCAGTCCAGGTTCAGTCCTGGTTTAGATTTGGTTAAGTCCTGGTTCAGTCCTGGTTTAGACCTGCCTTAGTCCTGTTTTAGTCCTGTTTTAGTCCTTGGGATCAGTCCTGGTTCAGTTCTGGTTTAGTCTTGGTTCAGTCCTGGTTCAAGTCCAGCATTGCAGTTTAAGTCACGTAAACAGGAAACATCTTTTTTTTTTTTTTTTTTCTTTTTGGTTTTGGGCACAGATAATGAAGAAAATAGTTGTTTTTTCGTTTTCTTATTTTTGGTTTTATTTTGAAAAATGAATGAACCAATAACACACAGATTTTTCCTCCGTACTGGTGTTTTTCATATAGATGTAGATATATAAATATATAGATTCCTCATTGTGAACAGACAAAGCAGGGACAAACCCATGTCCTTCTGTTTATTGATGTAGATTGAAAAAATCAAATAAAAGCCCATACAATGTGCATAAAAGTACGGCTCAGTTTGAATGCTCAGCTCTGTTGGTTTTATGAATGTTTCTCCCCACTCTTCACACCCATTACACCGAGTCCTCCTCGGGGCTGAAAATGTACTCAAATTAAGATTAATATCCTCTGTCGCTACATTAGCTCCACAGATATCTTCTCTTGTGATACCAGATGTACGTGACACCGTCCTCCTTCCCCCTCCTCAACACTGGGCCGCTAATAAGCTTTGACCAATCACGGGGCAGTACAGCTATCTCCATAATGGTTAATGGGCGCGCTATGCATCAGGGTTAATGACCTCTGAGAGCCAGCGAGCGTTTCAATGACTCTACATGTAATAAAGGCGCACGGTGCAGAGGGCTGAGAGACGCTGGAGGAGCTGGAGGAGCTTTTATTAACATTTTTTTAATGCTCTATCCTGGAATGTAATGAGAACACGCCCCTGATCAGGCCCAGCCCAAATCCTGAGCCTCAGAAGACATCACAACATTATAGGACTTTATTGCTCTTTGGACATGCACACAGGACATGATCATTGTTCAGTCACTTTCATCAATGAATCAGGTTCAACATTTGCAAATTTTTCTTTAGGATATTTTCCCAAGAAAATACCAATATGACGCCATGTTAGTGGATTCTGACCATTCAAAAGAAAGAATGTTTTGTTTTCCAATGTGAATTACTTTAGCAATGGCCCTACTTCACCGATGGTGCGTTCCAGGCAGCTGGTAACTGGGATATTTCACACCTCCGACCCGGAACGTCCCTCCAACTGGTAACTCCTACTCACGAGTTAAAGTGTGACGTATTACAGCTCTGCTCATCAGCACATAAAGTGTGTCACAGGTTCCTCACATGCACCAACACTTGATAAGGTTCAATCTGACTATATTCTGTCCTTTAAGTTACAGATGTTTAATGTTTCTAAATGTTCTTTAGCCTTCGGTTTAGCATTAGATATTTCGTGATATATTAGGGTGACCAAACGTCCATTTTTCCCTGGACATGTCAGTTTTTTGCATCCTGTCCTGCGTCCGGGTTTTCACAAATGGAAATATGGTCACCCTATGCTACATGCTGATGGAGGCTGGATGGAGGTTGGGGGTAGTAAAGCCGGAGGTCCACTGCACCATCTGGAGTCATCTGAGAGAGGCTGATCATGGGGACATTTTGAGTTGTAGCTAAATGTTGGGTTGTAGGATTGAGACCAGGACAAAGATCACACTCTTGCAAACATAATCTGATACGGGCATTTGTGCCAGCCATACAGTCATACACTCCTACTCCTCACATCGTGTAGTGTGACATCCAACTATCTTATGAGAAAAACACGTGCAGTGGACACCAGGCTTAACATTCAACTGGAAAAAATCTGATCTTTTTTTTTTGTTTTTTTGTATTTTGTAGGATATTTCTCCGTAAGAATGTGTGTTTTTATCTGGTGTAAAATGTTTGGGACGGTCTGTGAGCTGTGCGTGTGGACTTGGAGATTGCTTGTATTCAGCACATGTCTGGGCTTTCTTATTTTAGTATTTCTGGGGCTGCATATTCAACATCATTATAGGACGCACTGGTGTGAGAAGTGATGAGATCCACCACAGGAAATAAAGCGGACACACACTCTAATAGAACCACCTGCTTGGTGTCGCATCACACACACACACACACACACACATAAATATTACAGATGCATTGTGGGGTTGAGCTATCAAACCCGCGCCAAACAGAAACGGGGACACTGGAGCAGCCAGCCATGTACAATGATCATATGCAGAAATAGGCCACACTTCGTCTCCTGCCTGGATATTTTTATATTTTTCTGTATTTTGCTCCACTACATCAGTTATCTGCAGCCCTTTGCTTCATTCTGTGCAGGCACCACATGGAACAATGAATGGTGGTGTGTGGTGTCTCAGCCACGATCCTAAATATAGCCCATAGTAAAACATTGACCTTTATTCTATCATTAGTCAAGGATGGGCTTTTCTAGCTGCAGTTGTATTTTAATTATTATACTACGGGAGGTCATCTTTAAGCTCAAACACTAAAGGCTCTTGAGTGTCTGCATTATTTAAAGCGTTAAAGCATTTTCATTGCTTTTATTGCAACAAAAAACAAGTGTCTTTACTGTGAGCAGGCTTGCATCTCCACAGACTTGACTATTCTCTGGCCTGAATTTCTACAGAGCTTTTCCACCTTCAAGGCACTCGAAGCACTTTACATACACACACATACTCACCCACCCATTCGGACATTTGCAGTGAGGTGTGCTAAGGGTCTTGCCCAAGGACACAACACCAGCATTCATCTGTGGATCAGACCGCTCTACCAATGATATTTATGATATATTTTCTATAGCGCTTTTCCACCTTCAAGGCACTCAAAGCGCTTTACAACAAGGAACCACTCACACATTCACACACCACACAGTGTACGCAGACACTGTGGGCAAGGTGGGTTAAGTGTCTTGCCCAAGGACACAACAACAGCATTCATCTGTGGGAGCTGGAATCACACCAGCCAACCTGTGGGTCAGGGGATCTGACCACTCAACCTGTGATGTTTATGTCAAGAGCAGGATTCAAACCGCCAACCTTCAGATCAGTGGGCGAATGCTCCACCAACTGATCTACTGCCGCCCGTCATGTCTAGAGCAGGATTTGAACTGCCAACCTACGGATCAGAGTGAATGAAAACTCTACTGACTGAGCCAACTCCTGCTCTTCTACAATCTGACTTATCTATTGACTGTACTGTACTGTGTGAACCTTTAACCCTCTTCAGGCAGGCATTGCAGATTTGCAACAACTAAATGCCAATTACCTACTTACTCCACATCCATATTTTATGAGCTTGTTTTACTCAGGAGCCTTTTCTCCCATCCATGCTGATAAACGTGGACGATGCAGACTGTGCAAGAATGACTACACACAAACGGTCAGAAGTGCAAAGTACCTTTTGTTGTTTACAAAGGATACAAATTGTTTCTTGTAGGGCTGGGTATTATTAAGAAGTTGCCGATACGATACATACCTCGATACACAGGCCACGATACGATACATATCTCTATACAGTGCACTTTCGATTCGATATGATATATTTCAAATCGATTCGATACGGTTCAATAAAAAATAAAAGCTAAATCATAGCTGTGATACTAAAAGTCTTTGTTAAACCACTTCTTGTGCAAAGTTCATATGAAACACAAACATTTTAATCATCAAAACAGTAAAAATGTCAAATGTGTTGCATAAATGAGTTTCACTCCACAAGCAGCAAAACTGTAGCTCTGTAACAAAATAATTTAGTAAAACACACCTAAAAATACTCTTGGTGATATATCGATACAGTAGCCCACGATATCGATACTGTATCATCACATTAAACGATACGATATATCGATATTCCAATATTTTTGCACACCCCTAGTTTCTTGGAGAACCACACGAAAAAGTGATGTTGTTCTGCCACTGTGAAGCTGTTACACTGTGTTTTATGTTTTCATTGTGATGAAAAGAGGTAAACACATAAAGTTAATGTTCATATCATTTTCAGTCTTCAGTGTTCATTTACCACACTGGACCAATGCTGCAAATCTTCAACATCCCAGAATGCACTGCATGTGAAGGTCTCTCTCAAAAAAAAAGTCAGGATTGTATATTACTACCCCATATGATCATTTTCCCCAAATATCAGATTTTTTCCTGTTACTAAAATTTAATTTGAGCCTGAGAGGTTTAAAATGTACTGTGTAAACACTGTGGTGGAGGGTGTGCCACCTGCCTGCCTTCATGGAAATGTTGCTTTGAGTGGAATGTTTTACAGCATGGCATTCAGCATTGTCGCTCCCCATTACACACATTATTCACAGCACGCAGGGCACCAAGTGCTTGTGCGGCACCACGGGGGATTCACGCTTGTGAATCCTCGCAAAACTAACACGGCGTAGCATTGGGCGGTGCGGCCTGCGGTGCGGCCCACGGCTCTTTGAGAGGTCGTCGCGGGCGTCTCCAGAATCCCCCCGCGGGCCTCAATTTCACCAGCACAGAATCTATGCACTTCACACTAGAGTTAAAGCAGGATTTTCTAAAGAATATGACCTATGCATTTAATAGACTTTTATATGACAAGACCCATAAAGTAACTGCCTGAAGCAATGGCCCATTTTGTCCATTTAGGCAGGAGGATATGAATCATGTGGCCTGCCTGTGTTTCTCTATCATGGTTCAACATTCTAGTGAGAGGAGCACGAGGTGTGAGAGCACTGAGCACCACGTTTGACTAAGATAATGATAAAGGAACACATCACATTTAAACCCCTTTAAAGTCAAATGCTGCTGTACCTGTGATGTGAATGTGGTACTCGTCTTTAAAGATCCGTTTGCACACGGGCAGTTTGACTTTGACGTGAGTGGTGGACATCCCGGGCAGGTTCATGTCCAGATCGCCCATAAAGTGTGGAAACTCCCAGTCCTGGAAAAGACATGCAACATATGATCAATGTGAGCTAAAGGTGAACAAGGCGGAGCAATACAGTGATAGAAATCAATCAACACTTTTTCCCAATCCACTTCTGCTGTTGGTCAGTCTCTGCAACGCTCAGAGTGAATGATAGCTAATCACAGTACAGCATGAAATTTCAGAAGAAGCAGGTGACTTTAAACACCTCTTACAGGCAAAACAAATATATACATTAGGGCCGGGAACGTTGAACGCGTTAATTTTGCGTTAACTAATTAATTCATGATCACGGCAATAATTTTAACGCCATCATTTTTTATTATTATAATTTTTTTATTGTAAACGTCTGTTGCTCACTATCACAAGGTATTTGCAAAGGTCCGGAAGATTTCATGATATGATCCCGCCCATAATTCAATGAAATATGATTGGCTAAGAGAACTGTCAATCTCAAACTTCGTTCCAGCCACCTGTCAGCTTACTCCTGGAGGCAACCTGAACAGAGAGTCTTAAAGAAGAGTCTTGGAGAGTTAAAGCAGTTCTCAGACATGTCTCTTTATTGGTTCAAGGTCTTGGTACAGGTCTCTGATTCAAGTTAATTTACATGATTCAGCCACACAGCATCTTTTCACGTCGCCCCTCGACGACGTCCCCTTAGATGACGTCCCCCAATGCCAGTATACAGGAAATCAGGTGGCTTTATATTAGCCATCTGATAAAACGTTAACTTGTTGATTTAGCATTATCAGCAGACACATACACAGCAATTTTGACCCAACACATGTTATCATAGAATGGCATATGCTAAAAGGTTCAGACCCACCCCTGCTGTCTCATATACACTCAAACTCCATAACAACATCATATCCCAACCCCACTGACACTTCAAAGTCCAGACACCACATCATGTCATTGAACATTGCACTACTTCTATATTGCATGGTGAATTAACATGAATGAAACATTAATAACACAGAGAATAATTCCCACACACCGAAGTTCCTGCAGGTTTGTTTAGTTCAGTGCTGCAGGGAGAGTCACTGATTCACCCAGATACCACTGGAAGAAAAATAGTGATTGGTCCATTTCCATTCCATTATATTAACCTTTTGTTTCCCAAGAAATATCAGTCCAAGTTTAAAACAATGATCAAGAAATTATTACTAGTGTCGTGTTTATTACTCAATGAATAAAAACTATTGAAAAAATATATTAGTACAAAAATATTTTTTCTTGAGCCTTCAGAATACCTTGAAGTCTCTGAGAGTTCCCCTGTGAAAGAAATGCTGTTTACACAACAAATGTTTGGCTCTTTCATTTACATTTCCAATAAAAGTGCGCGATACACAACGTTTTTATTCATTCATTGGTTTTGTGTGTAACATGCGATTAATCGTGATTAATCACACTCAATGTTACGACCCGGGTGGATAAAACATATTAATGAGGACACAGGAGGCGAAAAGGTTACAAAAGTAAAAGATGTTTTTATTTTAAGTTAATTTTAAGTTACTTTAAAAACACTAAAACCCCTCCCGTGCCCAAAAAACAAAGTAACAACTGAAAGGTGGACCTGGTGAGCCGACCAAACAAAACAAAATGATGCGGCACCGGGCCAACCTACCTTCTACAGGGTACCAACATCGCTGAACTAAAGGAAAAAAAGACATCCCCAAACTAACCTCACCAAACAAAAGGCGAAAACAGGACAGCCGATCCCACCAGGTCAAACACAAAAGGCAAACAGCTAACAGGCACCGTGCAGCCTGCGCCGAGCAGCCAAGACAAAGGAGCGCACATAGCGACGAGCGCACGCTCAGGTGTGCAGAGGGCGAGGCGGTGTGTAGTGAGCGCACAGGAGCAAGAGCAAGAGCATGTGCCACTGATAGGCGGCCTATTTATACGCGGACCAACCATGCCCCAAAACAGACAATTAATCCACGCACTGGGATGTGCAAAGGGGCGCCAGCAGGTAACACTCAAACTCATGCGATTAATGTGATTAATACTTTTTATTTTGCCCAGCCCTAATATACATAAATACTTAAATTGTGATAAAATTTAAACCACTATTATAATATTTATTCTTTGCCATATTACCTACCAGAACAAAATGACTTTTAATGAAGTAACTATATTTACTGATATGATTACATGTGATAATATTGTGATGTAGTTTCAGGATAACGTGATGATGGTGTGGTGGAGGGTGTAGCACTCTGAATTAAGTTCTACACATTATCATCTGGGACGGGCGTCACTGAAAATGATCAGGAAAAGGTCGAAGCGTCACAACAGCACAACAAGCCGAGAAATCCAACTTAAGTTCAATCAAACTTAAATTAAATGTCAGCAGTCACCTCCAGTGTCTCGCTCTGAAATCTTCAAATCAAAGCAAAAATCAAAGGTATACTGTTCTAAAGCACACTTGGAGAGACTCATCCATGCATTTGTAATTTTATGATGATTATTTATGTTTTGATTTGTTTGTATTGTGTATTTCTTAAAGCACTTTAATCTGTGTATCATTCGTTCATTCGTTTTTCAATATAAAACCGAAAATAAGAAAACGAAAAAACAACAGTTTTCTTCATTATTTGTCTCCAAAACCAAAATAAAAAAAAACGGATAATGATTCGTTTTTTCAGTTTTCGATTTTGTGTTACAATAAAGAATGGAAAAAAAATCGATAACGGCCGTTTCCTGTTTACGTGACTCCCGTGACTGCGATGCCGAACTTTTGCACCGCATACGGACTGAACCAGGACTGATCCAAGTCCGTGACCAGACTGGAACCAGAGCGGGACCAGAGCGGGACCAGAGCAGAACTGAGACCGGGACCAGAATGGGACTGAGGCCGAGACCAGACCAGACCGGACTTCGAGCTTTGACTCTGAGCCTCCGCGGGGTCAGAGCCTCGGCTTCGAGCTCCGGCCCTGCCGTGGGCTCTGAGCCTCCGGTCTCGCACCAAACGGTGCAACGGACAGCAGGTCCAAACGAACTATTCCAACCAGCAGGAGCAGCTCCTGTTCAGGCCGGGCTCAGATGAGCTGGAGCGGGGAGTGATGTCAGGAGCCTCGGCCTGAGACGTGCTTTACCCGAGGAAGAACCAAATGCGCGGAGGACGAATGGTCAAAACTATAACCAACCAAACTGGATTCACGCTTCTGTCCGGATGCTTTGCACCACCTCAGAACCAGCTGTGGTTCTTAAACGCAGAGGACAGGAGCAGCCCATCCGAGCCTGTAGTTCACAACGCATTCTCGCTTTTCCTGTACAGAACCAATGTAAAGGATGTCACGGAACCGCTTGGACCACTGGTCTTGGTCTTTGTCCCGCTCTGGTCCCGGTCTCAGTCCCAGTCTGGTTCCTGTCTGGTCCCGGACTTGGATCAGTCCTGGTTCAGTCCGTATACGGTGCAAAAGTCTGGCATCGCAGTCACAGAAGTCACGTAAACGAGAAACGGCCATTATCTGTTTTTTCTATTCTTCATTTAAACACAAAATCGAAAACTGAAAAAACAAATCGTTATCCGTTTTTTTCATTTTGGTTTTGGAGACAAATAATGAAGAAAACTGTTGTTTTTTCGTTTTCTTATTTCTGGTTTTATATTGAAAAACAAATGAACGAATGATACACGGATTCACTTTGAATGACTTTGTGCATGAATTGTGCTCTACAAATAAACTTGTCTTGCCTTCCTGCCTAAATCCCGTCTGTTGGTGCTGTTATATTTGTTTTGGTTCATTTGGGCGCTTCACCTTTGGCTCCGCCCAAACCACAATGCTGCTCTGTGATTGGTCAGAACCTGGCAATTGCATCAGCTCGAGCTGGGCCAGATGGATTGTGGAGAGTTCGGGAGCTCACAGATATAGAGAGGATTCATCTGCTGCCAGGTTCATTTCAGGAGCCACATTTCCACTTCCCTCATGATGCCATTCTAATTCACAAACCATACCTCCTCCTCCTCCTCGTCCCCTTCAGCAGAACCTGCTCAATCAAACAAATGACTTTGTGACACCTAATGGCATTTCAGGACTGCATCTAAAAACCTGACATTTTTATCACTAACATGATAAAAACGACTTGTAGATCAGTCAAGTCATTTCCTTCCCTGATTTTTTCATAATCATCTTCAAATGTGTTTTGAACAGTTTGGGGAAATCATCTTTTGAATATTGCAACTGTGATTAGATTTGTTAGTCAATTTTAAACCAAAATTCAGTTGCACTATTTCAACACAACAAAGAGGATTCACATTTGAGAGAAAATGGAAATATGAATGCAAGAAACCTACACATTTAGAACAAGTTAGGAGACGTCTAAACTCTGCAATGAGCTGGTCTGACACAGAATAAGACCTCAGATGCACAGAATATGTAGTTCTCTGTAGAGGACTTCAGTATTAACTAAATAATGCAGCTTTTATGCCGCTGTCACACCTTGACGATTTAGACAGTGTATGTCGACGTATGATAAATTTGGCAAATTGGTGTATGTCGGATAAGTTCTAGGTTAGTATTGTATAAGTTCTGCGCACGCTGAAGCACGCTGGCATACGTGGACATACAGCAAGGTCGTCGAAAATTTTAAGCATGCTGAAAATTTCTGGACATATGTCAGTGTATGTTTCTACGTCCTCCCGTTATGTGATCGTTGACACACGTTAAATGTAAGTTTCTCATAAGTCCAAATACGTTGAGAAAATGTCTAGTGTACACATGACTTATGAATGTGTAACCAGTGTTGGGAAGGTGACTTTTAAAATGTATTCCCCTACAGATTACAGATTACATACCCCAAAATGTAGTTTGTAACGATCACTGCTGCCTTCACTTATGTCCACCTACTGTTAAGTGTCATATTGTTTAGACCTGGTTTTAGTCCTAGTTTAGTCTTAGATTAGTCCTGCTTTTAGTCCTGGTTTAGTCCTGGTTTTAAACCTGGTTTTAGACCTGGTTTAATCCTGGTTTAGTCCTGGTTTTAGTCCTGGTTTAGCCCTAAATGTGAAA